TTTATATACAAAAGTTTCACAAACTTACAAGCAATATAAAGTCTTCTCTCTAGTTTGGAACTTTCTTGATATCGTATGGAGGGTTCACGATGAGCGAGTTGGTATAGGTTCAATTCACTCAGTAGGAAGCTAGCTAGCCATGCAGTTCTCGCTGATCATACGCCTGTTAGATGTTGAGTTTCCACCGATAACGCTAGATAATGTTTTCGTAAAAGTATTAATGTCCGATGTGAATCCACTGAAGTTAAATGAGTTGTAATGTTCGAGTTTTGTAAATGCTCCTGGTCAAATATCTGAAGTTTTCCGATTAATAAGTGTTATAACAATCACAGTTATAGCTTCCGAAGTTTATAGCACACCAGCTATTGCAAACTAATAATACATACTCTCCTTTGGCGCGGTAAGTTGGTTATACTTATATGCGTGGGAAGGTTTTCAAGAAAATTCAGATTACGGTATAATACTGAGCTACATTTAAGCGTTTAAGCATTACTTTAAAAAATGATTGCCACTCAGTTTCATTTGTTTCTCTACCTAACAAACTCCAAAACAAAGCAAGAAAACATTATTAATATACTAAACCAGAAAGTGACCAACCCACCAAATTGTTCATCTTTCTTATTCTTGTTTCAGTCCGGATAACTACAACTAATTTATGACTAATGTCACTTTAAACCTAAATCCACTCTATGTGTTTCTGGCAGTGCACGAATGTCATCGCTTAGTCGTAATAATCAGTAGTGGTTAAAAAAAAATCATTATTCTAGTGTACACGATGTTATCACTACCTCTTGAAGTTAGAATTTTTACATAAATCTGGTGTTCCTTTAAAAAGCTTAAGTACAGGGTGAAACAGGAATTACCAGCCAATAATTGATGAACTTTAGATGACTGTAACATGTAGAATATTCAATGCTAAATCTGATGGTTGCGGATTCGAATGTCCGATCCACCAAATACGCTCACTCTTTCAGCCGTGGGGGCATTATAATGTGATGGTCAATCCCACTACTCGTTGGTAAAAGAGTTGGCAGTGGGTGGTGATGACTAAC